AGATAGATAGATAGATAGATAGATAGATAGATAGATAGATAGATAGATAGATAGATAGATAGATAGATAGATAGCAATGGCAATGGCAATGGCAATGGCAACAGCAATAGCAGTTAGACTTATATACCGCTTCATAGGCCTTTCAGGCCTCTCTACGCGGTTTACAGAGTCAGCGTATCGCCCCCCACAGTCTGGGTCCTCATTTCACCCGCCTCGGAAGGATGGAAGGCTGAGTCAACCTTAAAGCAGTTAACACCTGGGCAATTCCAGCCATTAGATGCCCAGCTGGAATAGTGGACTGTACTAAAGCAGAACTAAATGTCCCCGATAGGAAGACCCAAAAAAAATGATGACAATGACTCATGCCCTTCCTCCACGCAATCATGTTGACGGACTCTACTTCCCAAGGAAAATAGGAAAGTCTGCAACGTTGCATCTGACGGTTAAAGAACAGGGGTGGGGTGGGTGGGGAGAGGGCATTGGAAGACTAGTGAAGGACAGTCAAGAAGACACACCGAAGCAATATTAGCACTAAAGTTTTTCAGCTGCACTTCATCCGTTTGACCCCAGCCGCCAAACCAATCACAGAATCGATTGATCTTTGGTTGCGTAAAGAAGCATTGAGAAATCAAGATCACAGTTATTAAACCATGACCTTGTGGTTTGATTTGCACAATAAAATAAATTTCGTCAAGTCTGTAAGCCCGGCAGCAATTTTTCCCATGGTTTCCAGAAGTGGGGAGAAAGGGGGCCCTTCGTGTGCTAAGAGAGAAATCTTCTCCTCTGCTTTATTTAACCTGAGCCCAGGTTCCTGGCGTAGGCATTTCCCCATTGCCCTTTCCATCTGTCTAAGATAATCGGCCTTCCTTAGCACACTGCATAGTTATAGGTCAACCCTTATTCTTTCTCTTTTTTTTAAATAAAAAATTCTGGAACATTATATCCTTTTCTGCTTCATGACAAAGGAAATGCATAATATTTTTTTTTCCCCCAGTGAGCAATCGGCTGTGCACGGTACAATTGTTGCTTTCAGATCCTTCAGCTTCTCATAAGCTCAGAAAAATCAACCTAATTATTTTCGACCACAGAAACCTTTAGCATCTCCCTGATTTGCATTCTAAGTCCCGGAGCAAAAGAGGGAGAGCCAGGGAGGAGAAGAAGAAAAAAACGCTCTTTGAGAAGGAAAACAAAAGGGGCGAGGCAGAGGAAGGCCCAGGGAGGCGGTTTGGCTTACAATTTGATTTGTTCTCCTGTGCCAAGATGCTGCGCCCAAGTCAATATGGCCTTTTTGATTTACAAGCTTCCCTAATGCAAGGGAGGTGCGGAGTTGGCCGCCCTTTAATAGCCTTATTTATATTGGCTCCCATCCTATTTTTCCCTCTCTCATTAAGAGCAATCATTCAGGTCTTTGGATGGAATGGATGGCGAGCTGGCCACTTCCCCGAGGGGGTTGCGTCGAAGACAAGGGAAACCAGCGACCTTTTTCGCCCATGTGGGCCCAGACGGGGGAAAGCTGGGTTTCCAAAGATGATGGGAGAGAATCTAATTACAGCACAGAGACTTACCTTCTGCAGATAGGAAAAGCCAAAGGGGTTCGTGCGATGGGCTTCTCTATCTGCAGACTCAATTATTGGGGTGAGATGCTCGTATTTTTTAAAATCTCTCCTTTCCAAAGAAAGAGGCAAAAGATCAGACTAATTAGTCATGACAGAGATAGTTGCTGAGGAAGGCAAACAGTGGGAGAGAATTTTCTTTTATCGTTATTATTTTTAAAGTGTGTAGGCTGCGCTTTCATTTAAACTCACACGCACACACGGTGCGCACGGAGGGGGGATTTCAGAATGGATGCCCCGCATGAACATTCGGTGCAATAAAACCTCACTGTCGTAAAATTAGGAGTATAAACACGCAAACCACTGCCAAAGTTTTTGGGGTGTTTCTTTTGATGTTGAAGTAGATTGAAAACTTTTAATCTGGACATTGGCCACCAAAATGGACCAGTCAAAGTTCTGCCTGAGGAGGACTTTTACAGCTGTGATGCTGTGGCCAATCTGCTGCTTTCCCATCCCTTCCATTCTAGAAGATGGAAGTACCCAAGAGGCCAGCCTTTCCCTGCATGCTGTCCTCCAGATTTTCTGGGGTGCCCATTCCTGGACCGCCATGAGCCCCCATCTCTAGGGAGACTGGAGCAGAGAGTTCTGGATGAGCAGATCAACCTGCTGCTGTTCACTGGGCAATTCGCAGCCTTCTCAACGCTTCTGATTGCCCACTGACCTAGTTCCAGTCGCAGCTGTATTGATGGAAATGTCATGCCCAAAAGGGAGCGGTTGGTACAGTCCAAAGATCTCAGTAACTCCATCTAGAGATCGATCAAAGCAGCACCAGGGTCCTCGGAGTTTGCGCTGGAGAACCAGGAGTGAGGACAAGGCCAATGGGAATGACTCAAAATGGACAGTAACCTGAATATTTAGAGAGCAGCGCCTTCACACAGAATGCATAAGCCCAGATTGTCTCATCGTGGCTTTTGAACAAGCCTCAGGGACTTCATTGGTAGATAATGCTAAGCCA